GCAGTAGTCTGCATAACAGTAAATCTTCTATTTTTTGTTTGAATAAAAATTCAAAATAGAAAGCAAGAGTAATATCAGAGGGGCCTGGAGATATGACTGATTAACAAAGAAAATGTTATTTTAGAGCCTAGAATGTCTGCATTGTTCATTCTGGACCCTATTTTGAAATTGTCATATTTTTTAATTTTCGTGAAACTGGCTAAATTGCAAATTTTTGACCATGTTATTGGGTAGTTGAAATCAGTAAATGGGCAGTTTCTTGTACTCAATCGATAGAAAAAATGAAGTTCTAAAGAAATAGCTATGAGTTTGGTCAACTGGAACAACAGAATTAGCCGAAAATAGGGCTCAAAGTGGGCGAAATCGCCGATTCGTAAATATCGCCATGGTCGCTAACTTCGCCAGAGTGTAATTCCTTAAGTTTTCCATCAAATTTCATACTTTTGGTGTCATTACCATCAGGAAAAGGTTCTCTTTCATTTCATAAGAAATTTTTTTTTTTTTTTTTTTTTAATTTTTGCGACACCAGGAGAGACCTCAGGATTAGGGGTTGCCACAGTCAAGGGGTTAGAGATGGTTATGTTATTGTTTGCACTGAGTAATGTCTTTGCTTGGTCTGGTGTATAGTAATTACAGTTGCTGTTTGATTCATGTAATTCATTTAGTAAAAAGTTTACATCAGGATCTATGCCTGTAATCTTAGGGTCAACTTAGTGTCTGTGGTCACTTCAAAGCACTTTTCAAACACTGCTGTTGTGTAGAGTTTTTTGAAGTTAGAAATAATCTGCTGGTCCATGGGCTGGAGGAGAGGAGTGGTGTTAGGAGGCAAAAACTTCACTGTGATGAGACTAGTCCTTAGACAGTAGGTCTACCAAGTTTGGAGGATGAGCAGGAGCACTGTCCATTAACAGGAGGCACTTGAGTGGCAAATTATTTTCTAGAAGGTATTTTCTCACACTGGGGCCAAACACTTCATGGACCCACTCTGGGATTTTCTGAGTGATACACAAGTAAAGGCTTCACTTTAAAATCCCCACTAGTGTTAGCACAGAACAAAAGAGTTAGCCTGTCTTTCATAGTTTTGTGTCCTGGGAGTGCCTTTTCCTCCTCTGTGATGTAGGTCCTTTTTGGCAATTTCTTCCAAAACAGGCCTGTTTCATCACAACTGAACACTTATTGGGGATTTAATTTTTCAGTGTCTACGTACCCCTTAAACTCCTGTACAAACTTCTCAGCCACCCGTTTGTCTGAACTGTCTGCCTCACCATGCCTTACAACATTGTGTATGCCACTACGCTTCTTAAACCTTTCAAACCAGCCTTTGCCGGCCTTAAATTCACTGGTTCCAGGAGTTTTCCTTACCAGGTCAGCATGCAACTTCCTTGCCTTTTCACAAATAATCATCTCTGAAACACTATCACCTGCCATCTCTTTATCCTTGATCCACACCAGCAACAACTTCTCAACCTGATCGACTGTCTGTGGTCTATTTTTGGTTAGCATATCAACACCTTTTGCCACATCAGCTTCCTCAATTTCTTTCTTTGCCAGGATAGAAGCGATGGTTGACTTGTTTTTGCTGTACATCCTGGCAAGCTCAACAAGTCTCACACCACTCTCGTATTTTTGTATTGTTTCCTTCTTCAAGTCTATGGTGTTTCTCACTTTCTTTACCACAGGGGTACCACTAGCAAGTTTCTTTGAGCCCAAGGTAGCTTATTTCACAGTCACACAAGCACTAAACACAATGAATTAATAGTGAAATGTTTGAATGAGCACGCAGGTTAGTGTTCACTCAAGCATCAACAAAACCAGACTGCTCACGACGCCTGCGCGGGGACGCGGACAGAGCAGGCTGGTGAACAAGTCCGGTACCTGGTGGTTCGAAAGATGGATACTTTCGATACTTGGAACAAAATTGGTTCGAAAAAGCGGTTGAAACACAAAATCTTCAACAGTCAGTAGGTTCTAAACTCAAGGGTCCACCGTACAATAACTTGTGAAAGCAATTATGGTATGTCACAGCTCCCAAGGACCTTCCTAATTTGTTTTATCATTTCTTGAAGAATGATTCTCGATTACATTCCTGCTTGACAAGCTGTTCCTGACAGCACATAACCAAATGAGGATTGAAATACGTATATAGTACAGTAACACTGGTGAAACCATCGTGAATAGCAACACTGGTTATGCCGGTATGTAAAGGGTGGATACGTAGTCCCATAGTACCCAGTTATGGTATTTCTAGTGCTGCATGCCCCAGGAGGGCATGCAGCACTAGAAATACCATGTTAGTATGGACATGCAACATTAATGACACCTATGATATAAATGGCTTAGTAAACCGACAGGTTGGAAAATGAGACACTTGTGCATCTTTTAGGAATCTTTATTAACCCTTTGAGGGTCGACAGGCCCTCTCTGAAACTCGTTCTCAGGGTCGGCCAAATTTCAAAAAAAAAAAAAATTATTTTTTCTTATGAAAAAATAGTTTTTTTTTCTGAACATTATAGGATAAACAAAAAAATTTTACCATCAATACTTACGGAGATATGGATGCATGAAGTTTGCAGAAAATGAGCCGCGTATGGCAACAGCGGCGACTGCCGCTCACCCGGTAAACTTTGATTTACTTGTATTTGAAGGTTTGTTGTTTTTTTCACTATTTTATTTTTTCACATAACTTATGTGGCCTATGAGACCAAAGTAAGGTGCAATATACATATATACACTCGTTGTATACAACACAATAAGCACACAAACATAATTATCAATATATTGTTTACAAAACTTGTTTACAAAAACAAACAATACAAAACATTGTTTATTATTATTGTCTATAATATATATACCAATATACAGTCACTGAACATATTCCTATTAGTTCTGCAGCTTGTGGAACTCTGAAACATGGTGTCATACACAATGGTGTTTTATCTTTCTCCCTCATTCTATCTCTTTCAATCTGTCTCTCTCTTTCTATCTGTCTGTCAATCTCTGTCTCACAGGTACACATAAATACAAGTATACATAGTATAAATTACCTAGGATAACCCAAGAAATCCAGACAAAGTGCTATACTCTGCTTGAAGATGTGAGTAAAAGTGATGACACAGTCTTGTGGCTCTCTGAGACAGAGAGCTAGACGGATAGACAGATAGACAGGGAGCTTGACAGACAGACAAATAGACAGACAGAAATGTTAGTGTACCAGTACCAGTATACTAGTGTTCCACCCTCCTCCTCCTCTTCTTCCTCTTCCTCCTCTTCCCCCTACTCTTCCTCCTCTTCCCCCTACTCTTCCTCATACTCTTCCTTCTTCCTCCTACTCTTACTCTCCTCTTCCTCCTCCTCCTCTTCCTCCTCCTCCTCTTCTTCCTCTTCCTCCTACTCTTCCTCCTCCTCCTCTTCTTCCTCTTCCTCCTCCTCCTCTTCCTCCTCTTCCCCTAATCTTCCTCCTACTACTTCCTCTTCCTCCTCCTCTTCCTCTTATTCCTCTTCCTCTTATTCCTCTTCCTCCTACTCTTCCTCCTCCTCCTCTTCTTCCTCTTCCCCCTACTCTTCCTCCTCCTCGTCCATAGTGTAAATTACAAGGAGTCAGCAGCTGTCAAAGTGATATATTGGCTCATTACTCTTTCCCCCTCCGGCCTGTCAAAACAATGGGGTCGGATGCTGCTTCCCCTCCTCCATTCTATCTAATTATCTTTCTCCCTCATTCTATCTGTCTGTCTATCTCTGTCTCACAGGTACACATAAATACAAGTATACATAGTATAAATTACCTAGGATAACCCAAGAAACCCAGACAAAGTGCTATACTCTGCTTGAAGATGTGAGTAAAAGTGATGACGCAGTCTTGTGGCTCTCTGAGACAGAGAGCTAGATGGATAGACAGGGAGCTTGACAGACAGGCAAATAGACAGACAGAAATGTTAGTATACCAGCAAAAACAAAGGGAGGGAGATGTTTATCTCATCTTTTGGCATCAGCTCTACCCTCATTTACCCTCATCAAACGTCAGCACTTATCAGATGTTATCTCCCCTTATCTTGTTACTGTCATGGGTGAACATTTATTATTACATATTATTATTATTACCTATTATTATTATTATGTATTATTATTATTATGTATTATTATTATGTATTATTATTATTATGTATTATTATTATGTATTATTGTTATCATTATGTATTCTTCTTCTTCCTCCTCCTCCTCCTCCTCCTCTTCTTCCTCCTCCTCCTCCTCCTCCTCTCCTCCTCCTCCTCCTCCTCTTCTTCCTCCTCCTCCTCCTCTTCTTCTTCCTCCTCCTCCACCTCTGCCTCCTCCTCCTCTTGCCTCCTCCTCCTCTTGCCTCCTCCTCCTCCTCCTCCATTCTTGGAACAAGTTTGAAGAGCTTGTAGTTCATAATCACTATCATTATCATCACCAATGCTCACATCTGAGTCTGGGATTTTGGAAAATAGGAGTTTCCTCTTTGATTCTGGTACAACTGAACGACGGCCCAGCACCAGAGGTGGAAGGCTGTGGGTTGTCTGGGTTTTCCTCACTATTACCCATATTATGGTCATTAGTTTCGGTCAAAACCTCACCAAAACCTTGAAACTCATCTTCACTGTCACTTCCATCTGTATTAGAACTGTCACTGGGGAACAAAAGTGTCCCAATTCGCCGAGGAGTGAGGAACTTCTTACCGCAGGGCACGGTGGAAATTGTGTACTATGATGGCATTCCCACAATGCACCACTGGGTCCCAGATTATTTTCCTACTGCGCACACCCACCACACAGACCCATTCTCTCACATCTAGGCTTATCAGCCTTTTCCTGCGAGATTTGAGGCCGCTAGAATTTATGCGTACTAGTACGTCAAAAACCCCTACGCGTAAGACGTACTAGTAAGACCAAAACCCTCAAAGGGTTAAGGAAATGTTTCACAAGTCAGTGGCTTCTTCAGTCCATTACAAAGAAGAATGTTGGAAGATGATGCCTGGTACTTACTGCTTCATTGTAGAGGTGCCGCAACTTGCCCACTGTGAGGTAGTCAGCCATCACCAGATTATTTACTATGAAAAGCTTGACAAACTCCACCTTCTCCTCCAGAAGAGCTGTCGTCATTAGATCCTCCAGTCCGCCCAATGGCCAGTCACGTTGTGCTGCCCAGACATGATTTTTATTAATATTGTTACACGAAGGAATTTGTAATATATGTCCAAGTACAGATGTGTATAATTTTTTATATTTAGTTTTTTAACACACTGGCCATCTCTCCATTGAGGTAGAATGACCCAAAAAAAGAGAAGAAACACTTTCACCATTGCTCACTCCATCAATGCCTTACCAGAAGCATGCCAGTACTACAGTTCAGATGTCCCTCCAAACTGCAAATATTTCCACCCATCCTCTAGGATTCATGTCTAGCTTATTTATATCTTTTCTGTATCCCTTCATAAATGCTACCTTGCTCACACACTAACAGCAGGTCAAGTCATAAAAACCACTTGTCTTCATTCACTCCTAACACACATGCCTCCTGGATGTGCAAGCCCGTCACATACAAAACCTCTTTTACCCCCTCCCTCCATCCTTCCCTAAGATGACCCCTACCCCTCCTTCCCTCGACTACAGATTTATACACTCTCCAAGTCAACCTATTTTGCTCCCTCCTCTCTGAATATCCAAACCGCTTCAACAATCCCTCTTCAGCTGTCTGGATAATACTTTTAAAAAACTTGCATCTTCTAATCTCCAAGCTATGAATTCCCTGCATATTATTCACACCACACATTGCCCTCAGACATGACATCTTCACTGCCTCCAGTGCAACAATTACAGCCCAAGCTTTACACCCATATAACAGTGTTGGTACCACCATCCTCTCATACATTCCCTTTTTGCCTCCATGGATAACATTCCTTTTCTCCACAGATGCCTCGATGCACCACTCGCCATTTTTACCTCCATCTATTCTGTGATTCACCCCATTTTTCATAGACCTATCTACTGACATGTCCACTCCCAAATATCTGAATTTTTTTTTTCTTTGGGTTACTTGGTCTTGGGTGGGAGATAGCCACTGTCTTAAGAAAAAATATATTGTATTTTTATAGTGCATATTACTGATGATTATTGAACTGGAAATAGCTTGTCAAAAGCTTACTGATGCTCTGTCATTGTCTAATACTGTTGCATTTTCTTTGTATTTCCTTGTATTAGCGGAACACAGTAAAGCGAAACACCGTAAAGCGAGGCCCTACTGTATATGCAGTTCAGTTTTGGATACACTACCTCAATTTTATTTACTCAAAAAAATACACATATGAGCATAGGAACTATATAAGGGAGATAACTGTATTTGCTAAGCTTGCACTTTAATTATTCAATGATGAAATGATCTTCAGAATTTTTTTATCAGGGAAGGAAAGAAGTGTTAAGATTTGAAGACTGTCTAGAATGAACAAAAAGTCACAATACCATGACTGGAATAATACACAAATAACCCACACATAAGAGAGAGGAGGTTATGATGATGTATTTGTCTGATGTGGGCTATTTACAAAGTCACAATGGAACAAGTCAGACTGAAACATTGTCATATGCTTCCCTTGTCTATATGCAGGTTATCTGTGTATTGAAGACTGAAATGGTAGATCACTCAGTGCCTTTGTCAATTAATATATATATAAGAATAAACACAAGAATATACAAGATAAAATTAAGTATTAAAAATAAAATTACTAGCATGAATAAAACACATCCTCAATAAAGACTAACATACAAAGTTAATATACAATAACATTAGTTAAAATAAAAATTAAATTCGCATTATTGAAAACTTTCTTAATCAAAGGATACATTTATAACCATAATTTTTAAAGGGGTTCATCAGTAAGCCAGCGGAAGGCCTTTGTCAGTTGACCAAAAGCTCCAACGGTGGGTCATCAGCTGACTAAGACCCATGTCAGGAAACGCTTGTCGTGTTTCCTGACGAATCTTACCTAGCCAACCTAGCCTTCCCTAAAAGTTTCCTAGGGTCTCTACAGGCCAAGATAATTATAAAAAACCCATGACCTTAGGGCAAAGGCTGAAGTCACGGACAAACAGTTAAAATGGGCCCCACAGTCAGCATCGTGCCACAAGTCTCACAGATGACAAAAAAATCGAGAAAGGAGGAATGGGGTAAGAACCACGTCAACCCTGCCTGGTAGATGGTAGGAACCAAGTCAACCCTGCCTGGTACATGGTAGGAACCAAGTCAACCCTGCCTGGTACATGGTAGGAACCAAGTCAACCCTGCCTGGTACATGGTAGGAACCAAGTCAACCCTGCCTGGTAGATGGTAGGAACCAAGTCAACCCTGCCTGGTAAGATGGTAGGAACCAAGTCAACCCAGCCTGGTAGATGGAAGGAACCAAGTCAAACCCTGCCTGGTAGATGGTAGGAACCAAGTCAACCCTGCCTGGTAGATGGTAGGAACCAAGTCAACCCAGCCTGGTAGATGGAAGGAACCAAGTCAACCCTGCCTGGAAAGATGGTAGAACCAAGTCAACCCTGCCGGGTAGATGGAAGGAACCAAGTCAACCCTGCCTATAGATGGTAGGAACCAGGTCAACACTGCCTGCTAGAAAGAACCAGGTCAACCCTGCCTGGTAGATGTGGGAGCCAATCAATTCTGCCTGCTAGGGGGGACCAAGTCCACCCTGTCGGGGAATTTCACCTGGAAAAAATATGGCTCTCGGCCATATCAGGACGATCCCACAGTATGCCAAAACCACTTATCTATCCTTGATGTCTGTACGTCACCTGTCAACATAACATAAGTCACACAATAAAAATAATTTATTTCTTTTAATCAGTGTACAGATAATGTATTGTAGTGAAACCTGTGATAATAATCGTCAGACACAAAAGAAAGCCACAACATGGGGTGCATATCAGGCAGACTGAGTGTGATTGTGACAAGGTAACATTTATGAAGGGATTCAGGGAAACTGATAGGCCAATTTAAGTTCTGGAGATGGGAAGTACAGTGTCTGCACTCTTAAGAGGAGTATTAATGTTGCTGTTTTATAAATGAAGTGTAAGCATGCCTCTGGCAAACAGTGATGGAGTGAATGATGAAAGTTTTTCATTTTTGGGCCACCCTGCCTTGGTGGGAAAGGGTCAATGTTTTAAATAAAAATGATACCAAACTCTCTTTGATAGAGAAAATAAGTCACACCTCTCTGATGCACACGAGAATGTAGAACTTTTTTTTTAAATGTCACTGGAGGAGTGAAAATGAGAGCAGAGAGATATGATAGGACATACAAAATATACTGCAAGGTATAAAAATGGTAAGACAAGGATAGCTAGACTCTTTACCAGGAATATAAGAGGAACATAAAGGGCAGAGTTGGGAATTAAGTTTCTAAATGAACCACAGGTAAAGGAGGACCCTGCTTATACAGAAGATTAGGTTCTGAGCTAACTGCTTTAAAAGTGAAAGTTACTGTAAAGTGAATCATAGCCTTTTTTTTTCACTTTCAAATGCATATGAAAGCCTGATAACATGTTTACACTATCATATATTAAGTGAGCAATAGAGCTAGGCCTAAAAAATGCATATACAGTACACACATTACTTATTTTAAATATTTTCATCCTTACTTACAGTGAATGGTGAATATACTATTTATTGTAGGAAGTTTGAATAAATGAAGAATAGCTATAATTGAAAACTGCTGCATTAGTGAAATGCCATAAAATAAGGTACTGTACAGCGAGGCCCTCCTAAAATTTTTGCATAAATTTTTCACTGCAATGTTGGTAAATTAGTGGGCAGGTAGGTAGATAATTTTGATATTTAAAGAGAGCTATGACGAAGTAGATCATTCGTATCCTTGATAAAAAAAATATATATACAACATACACAAAAATACAAAGATTAACTAACAATAAAAATGACTAACACGAATTAACAAAACAAATACATATACAAACCCCAGTGGCCGAGCTGTGTGGCAGCTTGGTCTCGTCAAGTGACTTACAGTCTTGGCTGTCTTGGTGGGTGTAATTACGGACGCAGTTTTCTGTTGTCATCTCCAGAAATTTCCCCACCCACCTGGACAGTCTCTACCGGGACCAGCTAGATGAACCAAGTTTTCTTGTCCAACAAGGTCACTGGGGATGGAAAACCACTTAGTTTGTTTTTATCCATGGGGAAGGGGAATAAGAAACTTTCCTCCGTAAGCCATGCTTGTTGTAAAAGTCAACTAAAATGCCGGGAACAATGGGCTAGAAAGCCCCTTTTCCTGTATAGCCTACTAAAAAAAAAAGAAGCCATCAAAGTGGGATGTTTGAATGCGCGTGGATGTTGTGCAAATGATAAGAAAGAGATGATTGTGATGTTATGAATGAGAAGAAGCTGGATGTTCTGGCTTTAAGTGAAACAAAGCTTAAGGGGGTGGGAGAGTTTCAGTGGGGAGAAATAAATGGGATTAGGTCGGGGGTTTCAAACAGAGTTAGAGCTAAAAAAGGGAGTAGCAATAATGTTGAAGGATAAGTTATGGCACAAAAAGAAGGATATAAATGCATAAATTCAAGGAATTATGTGAACTAAAAATAAGGGGGATGTGAAAATGGGTTATAGTAAGCATTTATGCACCTGGAGAAGAGAGAAGTGTAGAGGGGGGAAAGGAGATTTTGGGAAATGTTGATTGAAAGCATGGGGAGTTTTGAACCTAGTGAGAGAGTAATTGGGGTTTTGGGATTTAAAATGCTAAATGGGTAAAAATGTTGTGGAGGGTGTAGTAGGTAAATTTGGGGGGGCCAGGGTAAATGAAAATGGGGAGCCTTCAATTGAGCTATGTGTAGAAAGAGGGTTTGGTAATAAGAAAATACATATTTATGAAAAAGAGGATAAATAAATATACAAGGTATGATATAGCATGTAATGAAAGTAATTTGTTGATTATGTATTGGTGATAAAAGGTTGATGGGTAGGGTCCAGGATGTACATGTTTATAGAGGGGCAACTGATATATCGGATCATTTTTTATCGTAGCTACAGTTAGAGGCAGATGGGACAAGAGAGGAAAATGGAAACAGCAAGTAAGAGAGGGGGAAATGTAAAAAACTAAGGAGGAGAAGTTAGGGTGAGAAAATAAGCAACTAC